TGTGTGTGTGTGTGTGTGTGTATGTGTGTGTGTGTGTGTGTGTGTGTGTGTGTGTGTGTGTGTGTAGATATGGAGATCAGAGGAAAACGTGTAAGATTCTTTTCTCCCTTCACCGTCTGGCACTTGGAGATCAACCTCAGGTTGTCAGACTCAGCAGCAAGCTCCCTTACCCCCTGAGCTATCTTGCTAGCCTGGATTCCCTTTTATTTTAAGCAGGTTTGTTTCTGGTCACACATCCAGGAAATGATCAGCAGGGCTTGGAAACACATGCCTGTCATCCACGCACTGGGAGGTGGAGGCAGGAGAATCAGGTTCCAAAGTCAGTTTGGAACATAGAGAGTTCAAGTCCCACCTGAGCTACAAAAGTCTCAAAAAGACAAAACAACAGCAGCAAAAGAGGAAATGAAATCGTTGTCCATTAAACCTTGGATCTGGAACTCCCTACACAGGCCCATGTGTTGGGGACTGGAGAAGAGGCTCAGTGGAGCTGAGCTGATTTGTGCTGCTCCTACAGAGAGCCCTCAGTTCCCAGTACCCATGTTAGGCAACTCAAAATCCAACTGTAGCTGCAGGGGAACCAATGCCCTCTTCTGGCCTCCTAAGGCTCTGCACACACACACACACACACACACACACACAGAGAGAGAGAGAGAGAGAGAGAGAGAGAGAGAGAGAGAGAGAGAAATAAACACTGGAGGGGAGGAGATGGAAAAACAAACACTGGAGCCAGGCATGGTGGTGCATGTCTATAACCCCAGCACCGTGAGGTCAAGGGAAGCCTGAACTACATAGTGATACTGTATCTCAAAAAAATAAAATAAAAACAAGCCAGGCAGGGATAGCACACAACTTTAATCCCAGCACTTGGGAGGCAGAGGTAGATGGGTCTCTGGGTTCAAAGCCAGCCTGGTCTACAGAGCAAGTTCCAGGACAGCTAGGGCTATGTAGAGAACCCCTGTATCGAAAAATCAAAATAAGAGTAATAATAATAGTAAATAATGATGTTAATAAAAAGACTCGGTCATCAGCCTTTGTCAATATTGGGAAACAGTGACACACTTAGGGGGCAGAGCCTAGTGGGAAAGGCACTGGGGGCACTGGCCCCCTCCTTCTCTTTCTTCCTGTGCCACACCCACCACAGCAGACTGTTTCACACTGCCCCAGCCAGGCACAAGGCTGGGACTGAAGCCTCCGGAGCTCTGAGCCTAGATAAGCTGTCCTGCTGTGCATTGGTTGTCTCAAGCTTTTGTGACAGTGTTGGAAATCTGATAAACATGCTATCTCAGACAACATACCCGCTCCTACATAGCATTGCTTTTACCTTTTCCCCCTTCAGGAGCCTTGTGCATGCTAAGAGAGCAGTCTGCCACTGGGTCATTCCACCCTATTACTGTGGGACTCTAGGCAGAGGCTCTACTGCGGAATCTCCCATAGAGGGGCTGGGGGCGTGACTCAGGGTGGAGCCCCTGCCTAGAATCCCCAGTGAGGGGCTGGGGCGTGGCTCAGGGTGGAGCCCCTGCCTAGAAACCCCAGTGAGGG